TGTGTGTGTTACTGGATCGTGTTTTCAGTAAGTTCTCAGTCGGGTCTGCACTCCCTGCGTTTTGTGTGATAGTCGAGGGTGACGTCCACGGCGTACGTAGAGGCTTCGTTCCGAAGTGAGAAGTCCAGTCCGGGTACCCCCGCTAGTTCCTGGCGGAAGGGCAGTAAAAGCCGGAGTGGGAGGCACTTCCTGCAGAACCTCTGAGTGAACTTGCGAGACACTTTCCTCCTGAAATCCGAAGCGGAGGTCCTGACCGACCTCCGAGTTGTGCTTTTTGCCAGTTTCAGGTGTGTGTGTGTGTGTTGAGTGACCAAGCTGTACCGTGCATCCTCCGAGCATCCTCCGAGTTGAGATCCTCCTCCGAGTCGAGCCTCCGAGTCGAGCACTGCAGTATTTCTGGGAGTGACAGTCGCCTAGAATTCAAACTCTACCAAAAGTCTGTTAAATGTGACACTTTTACTCTGTGTGTTGCCTCTGTCCCTGTGGGTTCGATCTTTTTACCACCATACTGCAGTTTTAGCCTTTGGTGGGTTATTACATAAGGAGCCGACAACTTCTTTTTGGCGCCGCTGCCGGGGACAGTGTGTCAACACCAGAGTACTTGAGCAGCAATCTCAGTTAAGTCCTCAGTCGGGCCTGCACTCCCTGCGTTTGGTGTGAGTCGAGGGTGACGTCCACGGCGTATGAAGAGGCTTCGTTCCGAAGTGGGAAGTCCAGTCCGGGTACCCTACGCTAGTTCCTGGCGGAAGGGCAGTAAAAGCCGGAGTGGGAGTCACTACCTGCAGAGCCTCTGAGTGAACTTTTGAGATGAATGCTCGGTGAATGTCGACGAGCGATGGTGTGGGGGACCTGAGTGCGAGAGCCACACGTAAGCTCCGTCGAGATTCGGAAAAAAAAAAAAAAAAAAAAAAAGAAGCTGTAGAAGAAAAACAGCGAACTACAAAGAAGACTCAAAGTGAGAACTCTGCAGAAAGATCGCCATCGCCGATTGCTGGGAGCCAAGGGCGTTCTAGTTCACCTACTGCGAGCATTGAGCTAACGGTTCTATTGGAAATCCCTCCGACAGGAACTCTTCCTGGGTCAGGCCAACCTAGGAGCAGTCCGTTGACAGGATCACCAATGGCAGACCCTCAAGCCAAATGTTCGCGTGGGCGCTCACAATTGAGGAGGGGGGCATGTGGTAACCCACTTTTTGTTTTTCGTCGGAATTAGAACATTTTTGATTAGTAAGTACCGTGGTAGCAGCTGTAAATAGTAATCGGTACGCAAAGCCAGAGTAAAAAGAGGATCGAGGACAGTCGAGGGGTTTTGGGCTTAGGCCACAGTGGAACGCTTGGAATGGAACGGGCGGTTCACGCTGCAGGACTCGCTTCGAGCACCTTCGGCGGTAGATCACTCATAACTTCCTAAATTCTTAACGCCTTGAGTTACTTAGGGTCTCGTTGGAAAGAGCTCAACGCGCTCGTTCTAACGAAACCAAGAACGCCTGGAACGGATGAGGACTCAGGGAGTTGTGACTGTCGGAAGATGCGAAGGAGAACGCCTACGGATAGGCGGAAGGAGTTCGTCGTTAGCAGAATATCCACCTTCGGCCCTAGATGTTCGCCTTCGGCGACGGACGTCTTCGTGTCAACTTCAAGTCGGCAAACTCGGAGTCGGCAAACTTGAGGTCGGCGAACTCGAGGTCGGAGAACTCGAGGTCGGAAAACTCGAGGTCGGAAAACTTGAGGTCGGCGAACTCGAGGTCAAAGAACTTCAAGTCAGCAAACTCGGAGTCGGCAAACTTGAGGTCGGCGAACTCGAGGTCGAAGAACTCGAGGTCGGAAAACTCGAGGTCGGAGAACTTGAGGTCGGCAAACTCGAGGTCGGCGAACTTCAAGTCAGCAAACTCGGAGTCGGCAAACTTGAGGTTGGCAAACTCGAGGTCAAAGAACTTCAAGTCAGCAAACTCGGAGTCGGCAAACTTGAGGTCGGCGAACTCGAGGTCGGCGAACTTCAAGTCAGCGAACTCGAGGTCGGCAAACTTGAGGTCAGAGAACTCGGAGTCGGCGAAACATCGTGCGGGCGCCTTCGGCGATAACAGATAACAAGCCTTTGACAGTGTGCCTTCGGCCAAGGATAAAACCGGCATAACTCTTTCAACTCGTAACGGTTTGACTCAATTAGGGTCTCGTTAGAAAGAGCTCGACGCGCTCGTTCCAACGAGCCCAAGAACTCTTGAAACGGATCAAGGATCTGTGAGTTATGGGTGTCGGGAGTGACTGTTACAAATAGGCAAAGATGCAGAAGTGCGTCTTCGGCGGTCAACGCCTTCGGAGAACTCGGAGTCGGCGAACTCGAGGTCGGCGAACTTCAAGTCGGCAAACTCGGAGTCGGCGAACTCAAGGTCGGCAAACCGGATGCGGTTCAGAGATCTTGCGGAGTCCATATCTTTGCGATGGACGGTCGGATGGATCTGAAATTTGGTGGGACCGTTGATCTCGGTCGGCCACGCATGCCTGCACATATTCAGCCTCAGATCTCGGATGTAAAGACGCTGGCGGCTCTGTACAGTAGGCTTAGGATTTAGATTTAGGGTTAGGGTTAGATTTAGGTTGTAAGTTAGAGGGGAAGGTAGCCGCCGACTTCTCAGGTGTAGGATCTGTTGCGGCTCGCACCCTAGCGGGTAGTGTAGTGTTAGTTAGGACCTTAGAAGGTATAAAGTAGTTCAAGGCGTTTTGCCTTTTGACTCTTCCAGTTTCGGAAGTGCAGATCAGGAACTCACTTTCTTGGCGTGTTTGTGCGTTTTGGTCCTGGCACCACGTAGAGAAGCTGCAGCATAGCGAAGTTACCGTATGTTGTAGTTGAAGGCCTTCGGCTGAATGTTCAGAGCTAGTACCCGGTTAGAGACTTGAGTAGTGCGGATCTGCACCTGCGGGTGATTTCTGATACTCAGAGCCGGCTGCGAGTTAGATACTTGAACAGTTCCCCCTTACTCCTTCGAGTGACATATCCTGATTGTACTCCTACGGGAAGTTTCCCCTGAATGCCAATGTGAAGTTTCATTACTTCGTGTAAACCTTGGTTTGTAATTCAGGTTGTGTGTGTGTTACTGGATCGTGTTTTCAGTAAGTTCTCAGTCGGGTCTGCACTCCCTGCGTTTTGTGTGATAGTCGAGGGTGACGTCCACGGCGTACGTAGAGGCTTCGTTCCGAAGTGAGAAGTCCAGTCCGGGTACCCCCGCTAGTTCCTGGCGGAAGGGCAGTAAAAGCCGGAGTGGGAGGCACTTCCTGCAGAACCTCTGAGTGAACTTGCGAGACACTTTCCTCCTGAAATCCGAAGCGGAGGTCCTGACCGACCTCCGAGTTGTGCTTTTTGCCAGTTTCAGGTGTGTGTGTGTGTGTTGAGTGACCAAGCTGTACCGTGCATCCTCCGAGCATCCTCCGAGTTGAGATCCTCCTCCGAGTCGAGCCTCCGAGTCGAGCACTGCAGTATTTCTGGGAGTGACAGTCGCCTAGAATTCAAACTCTACCAAAAGTCTGTTAAATGTGACACTTTTACTCTGTGTGTTGCCTCTGTCCCTGTGGGTTCGATCTTTTTACCACCATACTGCAGTTTTAGCCTTTGGTGGGTTATTACAATCAGGCGGGAAGGGATGGATGCGGACGAATCGTGTTCCTATAGTGACGAAGATATTGACGGTGCTACTTGCCAGGTAAGTGAGCCACTTCCTCCCAGGAAAAAGGGGAGGATTTCCAGATTGTGCAAGGCAATCTGAAAATATTTTTCCTGTTATAGGATATGTGAGGAGCAAGAAAGAATCCCAGGGACGGGTATGTAGACAAAATGATACCCATCGATGAGATAGATTTCTGTTTGATTTATTATGGACTAGATAGTAAATTATGCTATGTAGGATTTTTGTCTAGAGGAGGTTGTGATGATGTGTAATGGTTGGCTCCCTCCATCACCGGACCGAATTATTTGGCCAAGTCCATACAAGGACCTCAGATCTACATTGGCTTTGACAGGAGGTGCTGACGTAGCTGAAGAGGAGCCGACTTGTGGATCTACAAGTCCCTCGAGTAGCTTGAAGGGGTCGTTCAAAGGAGCAGCGTGTCCCTGCTACCACCCACTACAGTGAGGGATCATGGAATGCGATTGGAGCGATACCTATTAATCCTATCAGTGGACTGACAGGCAATCCAGACATATGAGTTCAATATGATGGTTTGCTCCCTCCATCACCGGACGAAATTACTTGGCCAGGTCCATACAAAGACATCAGATCTACATCGGCTTTGACAGGAGGTGCTGACGTAGCGGAAGAGGAACCGACTTGTCTCTTTAATCATTTTTTAAGCTCATATAAATTTTTATTTCATAAGTTATAGGATTATACATTATTAAGAAAATACATAATAGAAAATTACATCATATATATCCTTGTGACTTTCAATCTGATATGTATCAAAATATAATTCTTTATAATGGCAGTTCTGAATTTCATCTTACTAGTCACATCACGATGGGACACTTCATAGAATTTTTTGAATTGGCAAAATGGGCATAACAAAAGAATGTAATTGTCTTTTCCAACTATAGCATCTTTTCCAACAAGCAGAGGAAAAGTCCAATCCAGGCTCTCTACAATTAGTCATCCAGATACTTAGCACATAGTTTAGAAATGTATCACTATTGGCACGATGTTATGAGCATTAAGGTGCAGTTTTCGTTCGTAGAAAAATGTTGCTGTTGTCAGATACATGTACTGTTTATGACGAGGTGGCTTTATTCTCATTATTTGAAGACCTTGTACTAATTGTTTGATGTTTCTTCTTCCAGTTGGTGGCTTGTCATTGGCATACAAGTTGAGAGCGTTATCAGCGGAACATTTTGTACAATTACTCATTGCAGTCTTTGGAACTGTCCAGGTGCGAAGAACTGACGCTGACCTTTGCGTTCCCATAATCCTTATATAAGGAGATCGATTTCAGTGAACATTGATGCTGGAGATTCACACAGATGACATATTTGAGACATCGTCCTTACAGTTTTTCCATGATCTTGTTTACGTTCAATCTGCTGTGTTGTGAATGTCCAAACCACTTTATGACACCAAACAAATGCTCGTAAGACCTCATCCTCGGTTCGACAAAAAAGCACTTTGTTGTTGATCAATTCACTCCATTTCCGAACATATACACAGGCTAGGATGGTGCGAGCAGCCGAAGTCCGAACTGTTGTAGAGCAAATAATCGGGGGCTTACAAGGAAGCTACGCTGCAGCAGCGGTTGCTGCCGCTTTTGCATCGGGCGCAGCAGCGGCCGCAGCTGCTGAAGCTGCTCAAGAAGGACAACAAGGACCTTCTCCCACAGGCTCCAAAGCATTGCCTTCTACAAGCCATCTCATCATATCCAAAGGAACAATAGGAGCAAGTTCGAGTATATCAAGACAGTTCAGGTGCATATCACGAATTTGCCACGGGATGTCCTTTTTCCTTTCTTTTTGTACAAGAAGTTGGAGAGAAGCAGTGGAGTATTTAACTTGAGACTGCTTAGACTGTGTTCTTGAGTATTTGAGATAACTGACCAGATTTTTCCTCATCATGGAATCGGATCTTCATTCAGGGCGGATGTCTTACGAGAGACATGTTCCGTACATTTCTCCACGAGCCATTCGCCCCGCCCTCCTTTCAGAGTGGAAAAAGCAGCAGCAACATGCCAGTTTGGTCCTGCGGGGGCCATGATTCGGGGTTCCTCGATTGCCGCAACTTCGGCATTATGACGGTTTACATTCACCCAAAATGCCCGACTACGATTCCCCCTTTCCCATCAAACAGCTCCACTCTGTCGTTCACCTTCAATCTCAAAACTTTCGTCATGTGCCAAAATTCATCGTCGACCAATTTTGCGACCACTTGGGAATCTCGTCTACATGAAACCGAGGTAAACATCCCCGGGCTTTATCTGGATGCTCGGTTGAGGTCGAACACGATACTCTGAGTCGACTGCCGACGAGAATTTGTCTGCTCGCGTCAGGAGCCTTTGATACAAAAGCCCTTTCCAGCATTCTGCAGCAATCCAGCCCCGGCATGAGATGTCGGCGCCGAGTCCAATTAAAATTACTCGGCCGGAAGGACGTGAAAGATGTTGGTTTCAGCATTGTAAGATTTAACGGTTCCGGCTTGAGCTCGGGAAATCATCGTTTCTGAAAGAAGAGATGAAATTTAGAGGTTTACTAATTGCACTACGTCGGCAACTGTAATCCATGGACTGTTGTGCAGAAGTTGTGTTACTTGTTCTCTATTATCAGTATAACTCCCGGAAACTTTATTTATTTATTTATTTGTATCACGTATTCTCTTCGTAATTTGCAAACGAGGCAAAATAGATTTAAGTTATGATACTTGGCAAAAAATATTATGATAAATATTTGCAGATTCAAAAATTAGATTGAAAATGAAGGGTTATAAACTTACATAAAACTCATTTCAAAATTAATGATTGTGTCCGAGCTTCTTCTATCTATACAGCAGTAGACGGGTCTGAAAGAGTATTTGGTAAGTTTCTAGTCAGTAATGGAATCAATCGTCTTTATAAAATACCAGCACCAATTGAAAATTCTTTCAAAATTCAAACTCTCTTTCGCCCTCTCCGGACACTTTTTTGGTCCAAAGGACACGAGACCTGCCGGGTATCGTGTGCGTCGTCAAGCAATTATGAATAAGGACCTTAGATTAATCAATCAGTTCAATCCTTAGATTAATTATCATGAAGTAATTTATAATCATCCCTCATGAATCAAAATTAATAGCTTACACTTATTTCAAACAAATATTATTGGATGGAAGTTTACATCTACTGTACACAATTAGGTTTAAGTTGATTCTTTTAAAAGTGAATTATTGATTTTTGCACAGCTCTATCATCTGCTTACGCCTGAGAAATGGTAAGGAAGTACTTCTTGTTCAAATAAAGTGCATTCAAAATAGGTTTGATTTAAATACATTCATCCAGTGTTTGATAATACTTATAGTTTTTAACCACTTGCATGAATATGAATATATGTCAATAGAAAAAATGTGAGTCCTAGTGTAAACTCAATATCCTCATTTTCATAATTAGTAGATATATATTCACGTTAAATTTAGCCACACATTTTCATTCATAAATCTTACCGTTGCGATAATTAAAATTCATTCACAATATAGGTTCTTGCGTGACAAATCATATAAAACAGGAAAATAATTTACCTTTAACTCTTCATATACTCAGCATGAAGATAAAAGTTTAGATTAATTTTCAAAATTTCACTGAAGACGAAATAGACAGAATCATACTCATATACAGAAACTTAGAAATTCCAGTGGTAAATAACTTCAACATTGTTGGAAAATTTTGATCTAGATACTTGTTGAAGTAAAAGAAATTATAGTCGTAGGAATGTGATTTGCATTGATTTTATTTATGTAAGTATTTATATATACCACGTTCTTATGCAAAATTGCAGTGAATGAAGATAATGAGGACGTTGATAATGTTAAAATAATTAATTAAAGAATAATTTACTTCATATTGAAATTTTTATAAGCTTAACTCTACAAGCTTAAAAATGATTGGAATTTTTCTTAATTCTTTGATTTTTATTAATTGGGATGAAATTCACACACACACAAATACATATATGTGAATGTTCACAACATGTTTTTTCTATCAAGAAATAAACTTTGTAACCGAAAATTTAAATTTTTGCAAGTATTCTTCAATAAGTGCTTGAACATATGATGATTCATGACGATTCAAAACTTTTTGCAATTAGATGAAAATAAAAAGTGCAGAGAAAATTATTTTGTGAATTTCTTTGAATAAGTAAGCACTTTTTTTATCTTGAAAGCGGTACTTTGAAATAATTTATTTTCCTTACATGTCTATGATATTTTTAAAAAAATTACATTTAAATAATTAATTAAAGAAGAAATTGACATAAACTAAAAGATGCTAGACTATGTTTAGCTTATGAGTCTTGAGATACATACATATTTAAGTTTCTTAAAAAAACACAAGCATTTTACCTCGTATATGAAACATGGAGAATTTTTAAATTCATAAATCCATATGAAGTGGATTTGAAGTGTTCTCTTCAAAGTTATTTGATTCTATAATTATAATTATTTATTTAGAATTGAATCATAATAAAAATTTCTAAGATAAAAATTTGAGATTTATAAAATATTATAAATTTAAAATAATGATTTAAAACCCTAATTGAGTATGATATAAAAAATCTAGTAAATAATATATTTGAATTTGTCAATCATAATATATGCTGAAGGTAGATTATTCTTAATAAAGATATTGTATCTGGATAATAAGCATAATAGAATTTTTACACATCAAAACACATTGAACATTTAAGTAATGAATTGTATGAATAAGAAGATATCTATCCAAAATGATATATTTATGATAATTATAACTCTACAATCATAAAATTGTTGGTTAACTTTTGTCATTAAATTTGTCATAATCTGATCTCATTGTTTGTTCTACTTTTGGGACCAAGAGTAGTCATCTTGGGATGCCGTCTGCTGGCGATGTACATGTTGATAGACTCGCAGGATCTTTGCCTTCCCAATGAAGGCTGAACTGCGAGACCCACCGGTACTCTCATGGAGGCTGTCGGCCCGGAGAAACTCTCTCATTTGCCGCACTATGGAACTGTTTTATTTTTTCAAAGAAGTTTGTCGTCCAAACAGTAGCTTCATAGATTGTTTTATCTGAATAACACTAGTTATCTAAATAACTAGTGTGAGAATGCGAAGTTCTGAATCAACTAAATAATTTTGAATTATTATTTTAAGAGTTTGGTCAAATTGATACTTAGTCAGCTTATTAACCTTATTGGTAATGCTGTACTTTAAATTGTTGTAGTCCTTGGTGGTAACGACGAGCCGACCTAGCTCAGTGGTAGAGCGCGTGGCTTTTAACCACGTGGTCGTGGGTTCGATCCCCACGGTCGGCGGCGCTTGAAACCCCCGACAGACGTTTTGGACCTTTACATTCCGCAGCCGAAGACTCCCTTAAACCCTAGGGTGTCTTCTGCTGCGGAACGAGAAGCGGCAAGCACATCACTCCTCAGCGGGAACTCGACGACGACGTCGAAACCCACACTGACGAAAACTGCACAATTTCCAGCACGAAACTATTTTTCCAAGTGTTGTTGTTGCTCGCTTCTTCTTCTTCTGCTGCCGCCGTTGGTGGCTCTTGAAGGCGATGAAGCGTTAACTCTCATGGCCGCCCGGTCTCTCGTGGCCGCCTGAACATATCGGGGGGAAACTGTGGAAGGAGATCCAGCCAGGAGCTGCTGATCTTTAGTAGTCGAAGAGAAGCGAAGTTCCAGTTCTCTTTCTCTCTCTCTCACTGTGGGGGGGCATGTACGGTTTTTTCTACATATGTCTAGAAAAGAGGAGAGGAGGAAGACACATCGAGCTGGAGAATGCTGAGGAGGTCAGTTGTGGATTGAAGGCATGGCTAGCGGGCGGAGATCGCTGCTGGACGATGATGAAGGAGACGAGGAGGTTGCCCCCCAGCTGCGAGTGAATGAAGCGTACGCGAAGCGGTTCGTGCACAACAAGGAACGTGAAGACTTGCACCGGCTTCAGGAGCTGCGCAAGGACGGGCTTGCTCAGGATTCCGATGAGTCGTCGTCCGAAGAGGAAGATGAGGACGGACTTCTGTCCGTGAAAACAGAGGAGAAGATTTTCGAAACTCTTTCCAAAATTAAGAAACGCGACCCTAGTATTTACTCTCAGGAGACTGCGTTTTTTGGAGATGACGACGAGGAAGATGAGGAAGAACTTAAATCCACAGTGAAGAAGCAGAAACCCCAGTATTTGAAAGATGTGATTGCTCGCCAGCTGCTTGACGGTGGCCCAGAGGACGAGGAAGAGTTAGTGGAGAAGCCCAGGCCGAAAAGCTATCTCACGGAGCAGGAGGAACTGAAGAGAGCTTTTCTGCAAGGTGTGAGAGAAGTCGAAGGAGAGGAAGATGCTGACGATCTTCTGAGGGTGAAGAAGAAGACGAAGGAGGAGATCGACAAGGAGAAGCAAGACACGGAGGAGGCAATCGCTTGGGCCGAGCAGCGGGCAAAGGACGCCAGCATTGCCAAGAAACTAGAGGAATACTTCGGCAGAGACGACGACCTGGATGATAACGACAAGTTTCTGAAAGAATATCTTTTGAATAAGGGCTGGGTTGATCAGGATCAAAAGACGAGTAGGTTTCCGAGCTATGGCGAGGACACGGAATTGTTAAGCGAAGATGAGGACGAATTGGAAAAGCAGGAGGAGTACGAGGCGGACTACAATTTCCGCTACGAGCAAGGGGATAACACGTACGTGAAGGGACATTCCAGGATTATAGACGATTCTGTGCGAAAGAAGTCGGAAACCAGGAAGAAGCAGAGAGAGAACAAGAAGCTTCGTCAGTCTGAAGAGGAGCGAGCTCGGCAGGATGAACTGAAGCGACTGAAGAACGTGAAGAAGAAAGAGATTTTGGAGAAATTGGCCAAAATCAGGACCGTCGCAGGCGTTAGCGAAAAGTCTGGAGCCGAAGTCCTGGATGAAGATGACTTGGAGGAAGATTTTGATCCCGAAGAGTACGATAAGAAGATGAAGGAAGCGTTTGGTGAAGAGTACTATGGGGCCGATGATCCTGATTTCGCTTCGGATGACGGAGAGGAATTAGAAAAACCGGACTTCGACGCAGAAGATGAACTGCTGGGAATAGCGCCGGAAGCAGGTATCAAAGGAGCAGGTTTCGCAGCCACCAAAGAAAAGCTGGACAAAAAGGTTAAGGTTCCATTCGAAGAGAAGGTGATGATTGATAGGCATCTCGAGGAATACTACAAACTTGATTACGAGGATGTGATCGGTGATTTGCCGACTAGGTTTAAGTATACCCAAGTGAAGCCGAACAAGTATGGCATGAAAACCAAGGATATCTTAGCTGTCGATGACGCAGAACTCAATCAGTTTGTTTCTTTGAAAAAACTAGCCCCTTACACCACACAGGAGTGGAAACCTAAGCGGCCTTTTCCCCGGTTAAGCAAGAAAGGCAGACAAAAAAAGGCCTTGAAGTCTGATGACGGTGTTGAGAGGGTTGACAAAGAGCACGGAAACTCCGCTGATGATGCCGATGGAGACGCAGAGCAGAACGATCATCAACCTGACAGGGCAGGTACCACTGGCAGTGATTTGGATGCCGCGGATGAAGGCGTCTCGGGTGTGGATGATGAAGGTGAACCTAGTAAAGGGAATGGGGAAGCAAACGGCGTCAAGAAGAAGAGGAAGAGGAAGAAATCGAATACACCTCTTCCTCAGTCTAGAATGCTGACGTACGCACCACCAACGAAGAAGAAGAAGGTTAAGAGGTGACATTTAGATGCAGTTAGCTAGTAGTATGTAGATTCTATTGAAAGCAGAGTTGATCCTATAATTTGGAGAAATGCACGAGAAATTTTTGCGAGTTCCACTTGAATGCGATGAAATTCGCCTGCGATGAAATTCCACTTTGAATGAGTTTTCCCGTCTCTGACAGACTCCTTGTAGAAAAGTTCATTGTATGTGACAAGGTACTCTACGTTGGTTGGCAATTCAAAGGCCCTGTGTGCCTACCCAATGTTGTAGAATTCGGCCTTTCGGCATTTGACCCTACTCCTGCACAGTAGTTGAACGCGAAAAAGCTTTGATTCTGGTCAGGCGACCAACAGCTATCACGGATTTTACGTGCACTGAGCTCCACTAGGTACACTGAGATATGCAGTCCATCTACACCTCTGGGTATGATGTGGGGCAGTGGCCTTGCAGCAAACTGTATGCAAACTGGTCGTTGAGACACTGCACGTTAGCAAACTGGTCGTTAAGACATCTGAGCCCCCCTCCAATAAAGAGGCGGAAGTTGTAGCTGTGGAATCTGAGTTTAGCAAAGGTGTGTTCTATGCATCAAGAGTTGGAAAGGATGCTCATGTAGGTGTTCTTGCGGGACTCAGAAGCACAACTATCTGTAAGTTAGATGTAGATGGTATCTCAATTTTTGAGACATTATATCCTGTGAATTTCTTGTCTCCATATGCTGTCCAGCCGTGCAAATCCGCAGACCAGCTGACGTGCATACTTTTTTTGTGTAGGTTATGGATTAGACTTCTATACAGTGTCTCTATTTCATTTTCTTTTAGGTTATGTTTGGCCTTAGTTTGTTGGATCCCAGCTTCACCAGGAAGAAAGAAGAGAACACCAAATGCTTGGAGTCCTACTGTTCATTTTGAAGGTTGTCAGTGTAGCTTAATTGGCCTTCAGGTGCTACGCTTCCCTGGAGATTTTGTGATGAGGCGATCTGTACCAAAACATGTGTTTGTTTCCCTCGTGGATGTGCTTTCGCTTTGATACACCGCCTTACTGATTATCAAATCAGATCGTCCGAAACTAAATTCAGGTAGATAGATTGATTAACTAAACTCCCTGACAGTGACATGGCTGGACTTAATGGCTGGCTCATCTTTACCCAAAGATCATGTATTTGTTGGTTTTGCAGGACCAGGCGTAATGCCCTCTTATCCAGATATGTTTTGGCATGGCCGCCCATACCTCAACATGGACGTCCCTTTCCTATGGGATACGGAGAAGGCATGTATGGGCCAGGCCCTGGACCGATGTCCTTTGATGTTGATGCATTGTAGAATTCGGCCTTTAGGCATTTGACCCTACTCCTGTAGCCCTGCACAGTAGTTGAACGCGAAAAAGCTTTAATTCTGGTCAGGCGACCAACAGCTATCACGGATTTTACGTGCACTGAGCTCCACTAGGCACACCGAGTACACCATATGCAGTCCATCAACACCTCTGGGTATGATGTGGGGCAGTGGCCGAGCAGCGAACTGTATGTTGAAGACTAGATCAATACACAGTTTCAGACGTCTGTGTGAATCTGCAAGGCGATTATAATGCAGAACTGCACAAGGTGCACGAGATAGCGAACTGTATTCAAGGTTCTGGATCATGCAGCTCATTAGGATCACATCATCATTTTATCTATATTTACTGTCTTCCTGGCTTACACTTGTCATCCGGACCAAAGCTAGATCATACTCCTGAAACAATATACTGAAGAGAGTTCAAGTCGATTTTCAAGCACGGAACTCACACCGCCACGGGCAGAATATGTATTCCTGCTCTAGAGAGAGATGCTACTTCGTGATGAGGTTGTTACCGGTGAGAATTGGCTGCTTCGTGTGACCACACGCGGTTAAGTGCTTTCTTGGGGGTGTGTCTGCCGTCACTCGGACTATATGACGTGCAGCATGATGAGTATAGCGAGGCTACAGATTTAAGGACAGGGCCTGCTTGCAATCGGACGAGGTTTTGTCATCCTCTGATGCCTGTCCATGTGAGGATCCCTCGCTGTGTGTTTGGCAACAACGACCAAACCCATTGCAGTCACTAGTGAAACTTGCAAACGATGTATGTCTATAGGAAGAACACGCTGTGATACGGCGAAGAAGAAGGTTCTCATTCCAGGCGAATGAGAATCTACCAGCGGTACTCTACCCATTTTCAAGGCTTTAGTCCAGATACCGATAATTGAGATCAGTGAAGAACCTGCTCCGACTGTACACGGCTGCGAATTTTTTTCGGTGATAAACGTGAGCGAGTGTGGTATCTTCTCTAGCTGGTATCCTTTTCGCCTTCGGCCGGAGATAAACACATGCCTTTTTCCAACAGCCAGGGAACGTGAGAGAGACGAGCCGGGATTCATATCTGACCACTTTCCCGTTGAGTTTGTTTTATCCTTCCACCCATCAAACCATTAATTGTCTCCGAGAGGATCTAATGGTACACCGTACATATTCAACCAAGACTCTTCTGGTGGAAAGGGCATAAGGAAGTTAATGCTGCGTTTGACGTTGGAGCTTTTCCAGTGCCATGTTCTTCGTACTACCAGAGACAAGCACTTGGTGCTGGACTAAGACGTGTGTCTCTGGGAATTGATAGTAGTGGTACTATAAGTTTCCATGCCGACCTTTTCTGAGCACTGCACGTGAATGGGTCCAGAACCGCGCACATCCGCCTCTTCCCAGTGCTGCTTTTAAGTCGATCCCCGCCGACTTCGGGGACATGAAAGACTGCTACTGAGTTAAGCGGCAAATGCAGTCTCAATATTCAGAGATTTGCGGTCAGACTTTTGGGAATTGATCGTAAGAAGGAAGCAATTATTGCCGTTGGTCGAGATCGTCCTCTTCTACGAGTTCTCCGGGGACCTGACGACTGGCAACTTCAAGCTCGGCCAACAATAAGCCTGGTAGTCGGGCATTCACATCGTTGCAATCGCGCATAACCGCCAGCTCCGTCATGCAGCACGAAAAACCCTTCTCTGATCGACAGTATAAGCCCGCCTAGAGTAGAACAGACCTCATTGCATAACTCACAAGGTGCGCAGCAGATCCGACTGGCCAGCAGTGAACAATTTCTCGACAGCATTTCTGAGGCTGTTCGTAATGGAGAAACTTACAGCACCGTGCCAACAAATTGAATTTACAGCAGAACATGGAAATAATTTTGGTCGGTGCAACAGTTGAGAGCAAGAATACATCATCAATACATCACCAGTACGGCTAAACGTGTGCAGGTACTAAATTCAGAGCAGAAATTTGTATTTTATGTACCAAAGTGTTCGGATCCGAGAGGCTAACGCCGAGGGCAGTGCTCACGATGAAGTTGTCATAATGAAGTTGGCAACGTCCTCCATTTCGGCCTCTCTGTAGAAGGAGGCGAGCTGCTCCCTGGTGTCATCCCAGCTGCCATCTACTGCAGCGAGGTCTAGCAAAAACGCGGCCTGATCCAGAGCAATCTGGGCAGGGATCTTCCCCTTGTTCAGATCCTCCTTCCGCCCTTCTTCTGTTACCCTCTCTCTCATAAATTCCACTTGCTCGTCTCCCCAGCCTGCCATCTCGGCCACTTTGTCGTAGCTGGATCCGAGTGTCCACCACGGCGACTTCAGAGCAATTTTGGCGGCGTCCTTCGACTCTAACTTCCTGCCAGCTTTGAGCAGAAGCTCGGCATTGAATACAAATGGCCTTCCGAAACCCGGGAAATGCTTCCTGCTCGCATAAAACTCTCCTGTCACCAGAGCGGAGATGGCGTCCCCTTTTCCCAGATGATTCAACGCCAATCTCTCAAAGACATCGGGGAATTTCCCCACATTCTTCATCAAGTACACATCCACTCCCGGCGAGCCTGAAGATCCAAAATCGCCGCGCCTGTAGAGCTTCTGGCCCAACTCGCCAGCTCCCGAGAAGAATTTGTCCTCGGCACCATTGCTGTTGCAATCCTCTTCCACCAAGAGCCGGTGAATGTACTCCGCCATGCTCTTGGCGAGCAGAGTCACTCCGTGTTTGTGGCAGGTCACCACAGGAATGGCCATGCCCTCGGCGGGAGTCGGCCATCTCAAGAGGGCAGTGACAGATCCGTCCTGCGGATTCTCCGAGAGAGGGATGGCGAGGGGCATCAAACCCTTGCGCTCGTATGGAGAGACGACTTTCTCTCCCTTGGCCTGCAGAACGCTGAGAAGCGAATCCAAGTAGGGCTGCGGCTCGAGCCCGGCCACATTTTGCACGAAGCCCACATGGTCCGGTGCTGCTGTCGTCGTGGACAGACCGGCTTTCGCGATGGCCACCGCTCTCAGCTTCGTCGCGCTTTTCATCGGTAAAATGCTGAACGCCTGCATCTTGTCGCCTGATCTGATCCGGACAGCAGTCCTTCGGTATCGACTAGAGAATCGCACGATTCTCTAGTCCTCTCGCGAACAGAGACAGCAGTCCATTCTGTGGGATGATGGAGCTCGATTTGTCTCGTTCTGAACCTCCGGAATCTACAATTCTCTACGCTCGACTCCTCTGTTCGTTCTCTCGAGAGCACAGATTGTGCAATTCAGGGGCGGACGAGTCGAAGAATTCGGATCGACCAATGTCGAACGACGACTCGCGGAGCTGTGGTGGCGGGTTTCTGAAATGTCAGATAAACCCTCGAGCAAACCCCGAGAGTTCATGTTGAGGACCGATTATCCTCTGCGTTGCTTTTGCTTGCCATTCGTGGACGAGAGGGGCAGGCCAAGCACAGCCCTCGGGAGACACCTGGGCTCACGGCAGTCACTCATTTGCAGCTTTGCATCACTCGAGTCCTTCCATAAAGCTTCGGCCATTTCATTCGGCCCTCCGTTTCAGATGGCTCGCTCGCTCACCACGCCTTCACAGATTTATGAATGTTGAGCCATCTCACTTTCTGTTTTGACTATATCCCTTCGCCGATCAATTGAAGCTTCAAGCTTCACAGAGGATGGAAAATGAAATTTCACTCAGTCAAAGTTAGTCTTGCCTAAAAGATTTTAATTCTGGATAATCTCGGGAGAAGAAACATAATGTTTTCACTTATATCTGGACTAGGATTTATGGGACTCGAGGACAAATGACTGACTAGTAATATTGGCGGAAAGGGTCCCAACAAATGTTGCACCACGACCACTCGAGAAAGACCTTGTGAAACGACAGTTCGAGTATGAACTAGGCTACCTACGGTTCGCTTTATTCTTCCAATCCAAATTCGACTTAGAATCTCCTTATGAACATATTTGATTTATTATTTGATTTGATGTACCATTAAGATTAAGTATATTTAACAATTAAAACATTAGCAATTAAATCTAAATTGAGCTGGGAAAGTTTCAGTTTACGAAGATCTTATCATATTTTGCATCTAATTATGTCTACCGTTAATTTCATTCCAATCATCAGATACAATGTTATTTTTATTGAACTATATTATTACGTTTTAAAAAAACATTGTATCTAATAACCAAATTATATTTCAATGCACTTATTTACATCGCTTTCTCTTTCATAAAATTACATAAAAAAAATATCTTGAAGAAACTCTTGATTTTACAAATTTGATGTAAAAATGAGTTCTAATAAATCCCATCATCAACATTTGATCATTTCACTTTTCATTTCAAATATTTAAAGATTCGTGTCATTACATTTTCATGATATTAGTGGTATAACAAGAAGGGTACGACTAGGGCCACACCCCCGCTCGTGTAAGTTGCCTGGATCAAAGCCGCCGAAGGAGTTTGAAGAGGCATGGCAGACAAATAGATCAAATAGAACGGCAGCGGTACAAGCCGCAGCAACGCGGGAGACAGCGACGGCCGCAGAGGCCCCGCGCCCCTCGAAGCCTCTCGACTAACCTCTCCTCTGCCTCGCGGACGAGCTCGGGTTAGCCGCTGGGTTTGAGCGGAAGCGTGCTTTGACGCGCAATCAGTTGTTTGTATGTAGCGGGTGTGCCCGTAGCAAAAAACGGGTGTGGCCCTAGTCGTCCCCTAACAAGAAATCTTGAAACCATTTACAATGTCTATCTACTTTTGGTATATTTATTAAACATGCATATATTTGGTCTAATAAACAATAATTCTTTACCTTGGATTATAAACTGAAACTTGGTTCAGTTCTATGTGGATCTCGACTCATCTGGTCTTACCAACTTTTGTTTACACCTACATCTCTAAAACCTTCATTGCAAAAGGAAATGTATTAGGAGAGATTCACTGGATTGAGGATACAGTAAGCCAGAATGGAATAACATCCAAATCCGAATCAGAGTTAACGTTCACGACTTGTTTTATCATGCTTGGAACCACTTAGATCAAGCTCTACGTGTATAATCATAGTAATTCTATGGCAACCCCAACATGTCCAAGCCCCTCGTGAACTGAGACAAGTTCCCTCACTCTTCTTTCAGTTGCAATTATCGTAATTCCACGAAATGGGCTTCTCGTAACCATCAGCTACGTGCAGCATGCAGGACCTACAACACTTCGGGCCACGTCACGCTGTGCAATTCCACTTAGGCCCTGCCGCGTCATGCTCTTTCGGAACTGCATGTCATGCTCGGTCTCCATCTCCCTCTCTGTCCCTCTTGAGGAAAAATTACGTGAAATCGTCCTGGATTCATTCATGGGCGCACAATTTCGATCGCCGCGGGGCCTAACGACGAAGCAGAGCAATTTCCAGGCTGCTGTTGATTGCGGCGTTCGACGCTCCTCCTAGTTGAGGCCGTGGGATCTACGCATCCGTGCTTGTTGTGTTTGGAATTTCGCAGACGGGGAATTTCGCTCCGTCATCTGCTGAGTCTCCACACCGAGGTGATTGTCCGGTGAGTCAGGAAGTGCCTGTGTTGCTATGTTCCGTATCGTTTACTGTCTCGGAGGACATCTGGGTTTGCCCTGCACCTTATTGCGTTGTGATGCTCAGCCCTCTCACTGAAATTGCGCAGCTTTTCTTTGCTACCTTCCTTGGCTTCCGTGTTAGTCTGACTCTGGGTTCTGTGATGGAAAGGTGTGGGCTGGGGAGTTCGCGAACAAGTGCGCGCTGCGATGTCTGGAGCACGGCGGTTGCCTATGGTCCAGCGACTGGGAGTACTGGCGGCCTTTAATGTGGCTGTGTACTTCGCGTACATTCAAGTCATTGAGGTGGGCTCATTAACGAGTTTCTGCTCGTGGATGGATTCTTTTTTGTGTAGTGGCATGTGGCTGTAGTTAGTGTGGGAAGGTGGTAAGTTTAGGGTAGGTTTGGAAGGTGAGGACTTGACTGAATTATGCCTTGCTTCACGTTTTCCTTTGTCCGTGAATCTCGTATCGCACACGACTGTTTGCCAGCCATCAGCGAATGCATAAACTTGAAGATTTTACTCTGTTGGGGATCGATTACAAACGTCCAACATAGATTCAGTTTTCGTGCTGGAGTGCTTTTGGGCGGATGATTTTCCTCATTGTGTTTCTTATTGTCGATGTGGAATCCACTAAACATCCTCGTACAAGAATTCCATTTTTGTGTACCGCTGTAGACGACCAGAGATCAATTTCCCTCGCATTTAAGTGATACTTGTGAATAGCTGATTCAAATGTTAGATCAACATATTACCGGTTATCATCAAGGATCTTTAGTTTAGCCTATTGAATCTACCATAGTATCCTTATTCGAAATAGATCCAGTAGATTGCTATATCGTGAATATTATCAATTTGCGGTGGTAATGATCATCACCCGTCCGCGTAATGGACTCCTTTTCATATTGAATTTGAATCCGTGTACTGCAGAGGTCAAAGCAAAGAGGAGGTAGTTTCTCGAAAGACGGTTATGACTACTGGAGCATGTTCAAAAAGCCGAAGCACCAGTTGGAGCTGGAAGAGAAGGTTGTAGCAGAAAAGAAAGCTCAAGGTTGATAGAATATCTCTGATGAATTCGCCTTGTCGTGCTGCGAATGTTCCATAAATAGATTAGTGCTAGGCCTTACAACTGGTACTCTGTAGCCTTAACAAAAACTCGAATTTCCTGTATTTAAGGTGTCATTGGGAGGCTGGAAAGTCAATACGCTAGTAATACCAGTTAGCAAGCTCCTCTCGTTTTTCCAAGACACATCAGTTCAAGCAACTATTACGAGTTCGGTAATGTGAGGAGTTGACTGAACATATGCCTAGTGTCTCTACTATATTGAGAGCAACGGATTGAGATCGTCAGAATTTGCTATTGTAGAGAGCATGGAGAGCAGAGGTAAAGCTTCGAATGACAAGCTATCAGCTCTCTCAGTGGGAAAAGAATTCATTCCCGATGGATGTGTTTGTAGATGATTCTGGATCAAAAGTAAAGAAAAGGGAAATTATATCGTGAGGTAGCTTTGGTGAAAAGCGAGAACGTGGCATTTTTCTTGAGGGGAGCGATGTCCTTGGTTGAAAGTTTTTCCAAGGAAGTGGAGGAAGACTCAACAGCAGCTAGGAATACACTATCTTCCTCTTACTTGATGTTTCAGCAAAGGCAGGACGAGGAGGCTGTTCTCCACACTGAACCCTCTGATGGCCCTCCCGACGGTTTCTTTTCATTATCCACATGCGGATTAGAAATCTCTACTCGCGCTTGAGTCGGTAGGCACGCCGATGCGCGGCGTAGTGAATGATGTTCGGGTGTGGAAGAAGTTCAGTCTTCGACTCCCCTTAAGCGAAGACATGTGAGATGACATTCTTATGATAGTTGTCAAGAGGGCCAACAGAAAGCTGAAGAGTACGAGGCTTGTAATGTGCCTAATGATCAGTGATGCAGGACTGGCTATGTGCTGTCTCTCTGTCCAGAGCTTGAGAAGGTTAGAAACACCTTCACTACTCTTCTTTTCACAAGTGCAGTTTTGAGTTGAATGTTTGTTTGTTGCATGATCTTCAAGGCAGCTTATTCTTGACTCCCATCGCGAAATGCTTGCAGCTTGATATTTACGCATGTTAGCGACTCGGTGCTGATGCCCTCGTGTGTATGGTGGTGGAGCAACAGGGTGAAGTAAGTCTTTGGAAGGGGATGCCTGGTATCAAACAGTAGCGAGGTAGAGGAACATTCAACATAAACGCCAACACTGGAATGCCCTTAGAGACATGGTTTTGAGCAGTAGGGAACATCAGTCAACGCTCATCAGACCTATTTAACGGAATGCAGATCCTCTATCAGTAGCGGGTGACGAACGAGATATCGATGTTGGAACGCTAATGGGCAAAGTTTCTGTACTACTAAGTTGTCACAACGAGGGGTGTGCGGTCTATTTACCAAAATTCAATGAGTGCTGTACTTGTTTTCTTAAGGATTAGGAGTTGAAGAAACCAGTTTCAAAGACCTTGTTTGTTTGAGCTGCTGGTTGCAATCTACGAATTGAGGACAATGGAAGGGTGCCACCAGCAGGTAGCACAAGGCGAAGTTCCGTGAAGGGCACTCATGTAACAATGTGATCTGTGAGGACTGCTTATAATTTTTACGGAGAAAAAATATATCTGGAAGTTTGTGATGATGTCATTTCTGGAGCCTACGGATCGGTTTAATTCTGGGCATGGAGTTGAATCGTTGATTTCAGGAGAATTGGATCATACGAAAGATGAAATTTTGAGATCACAGGTGATGCTTTTCAACTTCGATTCTTACGATGACATGGGGTTTATTTTAAGTTCCAGTTAACCCAGCTATTTACAGCAACGTCGTACGACTGTAAGCTATATAAGCCCCTTTGTGCGTTTTGTTTCGAGCGTCAGCTCTTGATTCTTCATCATTCTAGATGGATGGGGAATATGGATGGAAAACGACAATTCATCTCCTTAATAAGTTGCTAGAATTGTATACTCGAGTGAAGTAATATATCTATGTTGGGTGAGATACTGTGGACTTCGAGAACTTGCTATTGTAGTGGCTTTTTCAAGTTACACTTGGAGAGATTTTTTTTTACTTTGCGGGGATGGAAGAGAAAACGGAACATTTTGTCCTTTGTTGCAATGCAATAAGTTTAGAATACAATACATATTCTTTGGCAGGGAAAGTTTGATGATCTTTCTTTGACGTTGATAACAATTTTCGTTGAAATATATCTCAGTAGTAGACATAGAACGAATTAGATTACATAGGATAGGTGTTTTCTCATGTCATGTGGAGCAGTAAGTACAACAATTAAACCAAAATTTATTAATGTATATTCTTGGGTTATTCAACTTGACATGATAGAGATCAGGAACAAGTATGATATACTTTTTGCTACCAACATGTTGAATTCTAATGCTGCAATAGAGGAAGTTATGAGACTTGTGAGACACACCATCTATTACATACGAAGTAAAAACATATGTAATCATCTTCGAGATTATCTATGGCTGGTCTTACCTCTGACCATTAGTCGATGCAGTCAAGAATAAAGAAATGTTCAAAATGCCAGATTTAGTATCATTGGTATGGAGACGAAGAGGTGGACTCATTTCACATAATGTTTGGTGTTGTGTGGAGCAAAATGATGTGAATCATCTCCAGGTTATACACAATGTAGATGGAACTACGGAGAAATTGTAGCATGTATCAGGAATATAAATTAGAATTTACACTTTATACCTCCACTTCTTAAAAGAGAGCTTATGAAACTTTATCACAAAATTTCCGAAGAATATCTGAAAACTGACAAGATTTTTCATAAATTATCCTAACCTTCAAGGATTAATTACAAGTATTAGATGTAAAATTTCGAAAATACTATTTACCATTCAATAGTTTGTTTGAGTAAAGAAATATTTGTAGACGGAGTATATGAAAGTATGTTTGATCAGACATTATTTTAAGTTTTTTATTCTAGATTAATGAGAATATGACTATGTGTCCAAAGAATTACATTTGATGAAATTCATACCATTGTATAAAGCATGTGAAGTTAACCAAGAATTTTTATATATAACAATCATCAATATGTTATGATACATTTACAAATTTTTCATTACCATTTACCTTTACCATTATCATTTACCATTTCAATTTATCGTTTTGTAATTACAATTTGATCAGTATATTATGTATATGCATAATATACACAGAATTCTAGATATACATACATTTACATAGATTTCTTTCTTTATTAGACTCATTCAAAGTATGTAATCAATCTTCATTTGACTATATGCTAAAGTATAAGAAATAGAAGTTATTGGATGAATAATTTGCATGATCATGATATGATATATAAGTAAAAATAATACTTATGTACGAACTCCTTTCATTTCACTGATACTAGATTCATGAAAATTTGCATAATATTTAACAATGTTGTAGTATGAAAAACATTCACCCAATGTATCTCAAGAGTCATAATTTGTGTTGAATTGCATACTAATGTAACTTAGCATCTGTTATTAGTATTAAAAATATCATACTATATGTGAAAACTAGTATTGGAAAATCAAAAAATAAAGATGTATGCATTTCATTTAGATTTGCAGTTTTTTAATGGAAAAGCTAAATACATTTATGCTTGATTCACAATCAAAATATATGTGAAACGGATATGATTTGCATCAAGTTGAAAATTTAGATCTCAATACTTCATGCACATGTAGCAATATTGTCAAAGTTTTGTTAGCGGCAGTTATAATAACATTAATTTTAAAGCTATATGATGCTTAAAAATAAACTTCATTGAACGGAGTTTCATTGAATGTTACTTTCTACTTTTTTTTAAATTATAAAAAATGTAACTCATTTAAAAAAATATATCTGAAGTGAGATTCAAATTGACACGTGACAACTTTATAGTTGCAATATATTTTTAAGTAATTTAGTTCCATAGTATTTCAGAAAAGGATATTATGAATGCAGATTGTCATTTTTTAATTTTAAAACATAAATGTTGTATTACAAACCAACTCAAATTTCATGATTTATTTAAAATATCGTGGATATTTTTGCAAGTTATTCTTTAAAAATTCAAAATATGATACCCATTGTTGATAATCAGAGTATCTATCTTTGTATACATTCTAATTTTTTTTATTAACAGATTTAAACAAAAATATCAGTTTCTTTACATCAAATAGTTAACTTTGAATTGATAAAATTTTTATTATAATAAAATTTGTTTACATTGTATATGAGTTTACATTGTTGTTTTTAATATGAGATAAAAAATTTCAAAAAATCAAATCTAACAAAACACATATTAAAAAAAATTATTTCATATGTAATCATATGATATTATTTTCCAAATTTATGAATAACTTATTGATATCATCCAATCTAATATATCAAGAACTAACCTATGTAATCTTCATAAAATCTTAACTACTTCTGCATTAAATAAATTTAATAATCTATCATATTTTGAATATGATTGCAATTTCACTTATTTACATATTCAAATTTGAGTGTGCATGTACTTGTATATATGTCAAACATATTTAAGAATATGATGGATATATGAATTATATTGTGAAAATCCATGCAATTATATAAATACAATTTAAATGATTTATGAAAAAATTGAATCTATGTTTATATTTATAGGAGAGGATTTAAAAAAACATCATTCAACCAATAATTCCACATAATTGCAGTCAGATAAGAAACTTCTCTCTGGGTGCTTCATGGAAACTAAACATATTTTCTATCAAAAATTAATAAGCTCTTCAATTTTAGATAGAGATTTGAAGAACTAAACTATAGTAAAAACATGATAAGATAGAAAATATAAAGAGTTAACCAAAATTGCTAGATATGCTCTTCATGCAAAATATATATATTAGCACAATGTATTCTAAAATTATCTTATCGGAATAATTTTGATCATCGTATCAGTCGGATTGAATTAACAGTTAATCTTGACTAGCTCAATCTTTTTGTCCAAAATTACACATCTTATAAAAAAATACATGATATATATGTGTTTCATTCTGTTATCCATCATTTGATTTGCAGCAAGATGTAAAGTACTTTGACTACCTTCTTTTCCCTAACAGCACGCTTGACAGAATTCAAAGAGTCCTTGTAGCTTACGGGAATGATCCTCCCATCCGTCACAATAAATATATTTAACTCATGTTTTAATAAGATCTAAGTGATAAGCTTACGCAACCAAATATCTTCATTTTATGTTTTTGCTAACATTGCATATTCAACTTTCGGTGTGGACCGAAGTATGCACTTCTACAAAATAGACATTCAACTAATATATTCATCACTAAATATAAACATATATTCAATTGTAAATAATATTTTGTCCATAGTGAACATCAATGTAATCTAGCAAAGATTTGACATTGTTTAATAAATCATCAAACAATGAATTATACTCCAAAGTAATCTTCAAGTAGATGAGAATCCATTTCATTAATACCCAATATAATGTCGCTGGATTTCATATATACTTGCTCATCTTGCCCATTAATTAATATTAATCCAACTATGGCTGGATAAATATTATAACTTGTGCTCACTATTAAATATATAAAGAACACCATAACTTTTTCATAGAAAATTGATGGCATTTTTTCTTTCTTATTGACATTGATTGGATAAAGAATTATACAAAATTTAAAATGTGATACCGAGTATGTTCATAATTTTTGAGAATCTGCCATGTTAGTTTTAATTCAAATTATTATACATATCCATTCATAATATAATATTTGATTTATACAAATTTTTCATTTTGAATGAAAAATTTTGATTGGTTTTTGCACATATTGACTTTAGATTGATTATTTGCCAAAGTTAACATGTCATACATTTAAAATATTTAAATAATGATATTGAAGATCTTATCATTTGACTTTTTTTATGAATATTCATGTATCATACGCACTCCATACAATTGGAGTGAACAAGAAGATTTTTTATCTTTTATCTTTTACTCATTTAATTCTTTTCAAAATATCGTCCATCTTGTCAAAGGTACCAGATCAGAAGCATCAAATTTAGCAAACTTGTTTGATAACACATTTGCTACGTCCTTTCCTTGAAAATGTTAGTAGAAGAAATCATCTAGTTTCTTGTACAGGCTTCCAACATCGCTGCTTTAAGTTTCCACTTGCTAATATACCATCATTAGATGCCAACATCTCAAACATCTTCCAAGCTACTTGGAATGTCGTAATTAACATGATAATGTGTCTTTACTGCACACAGATAAGCTGATAGAGGCTCGGTCGCTTTAATCACGATACACAACTTGAGTGAGTAATTTAAGCGAGTAATTTTGTAACTCCTACCAGTCCATCCAACTACAGTCAACCTTCATCCATGCGCTAATTCGCGACTAGAACGAATTGGACTACGGACGGCACTTGAGCTGGAAGAAAAGTGGGTCATGTTTTGTCTAGACATAATTTTTTCATATGAGATTCTCGGCAATGATATGGCCACGCGTTATTTGCCTAACTTTACGCAAATAAACGATGCTCAACTCTACTAGTGTGGCATCAAATTGATGCTGAAACCTCCTTTAACACATGACGATAGAAACCCAGAGTAATGTAAGTCTTGAGATGAGTAGTAGGACTTGAGTCCGATCTGTCTCGCTTAGAGACGAGAGTAGAAAGATAAAAAAAGACACATGCACAAAGGGAGACACTCAACGCAGTTCACTTTGACTGCATTTATATTTGCGTATATATTGGACATGGGTGTAGCGCAACAGAGACAACAACAACTTATCAACATTTGGACAAAGTAGGCTAGAAATGAAAAGAGTCGCGATGATATGCAAGATCTTTCAATAAATTTTGAAATAACTAACATTGATCTGATTATTTATTTCAAAAATTTTGTTATATTCCTATGGTTTGAAATTATAATAATAATTGAAATACAATTAATGATGCATGTAACAAGTATCATTGCTAGTTTGTTAAAAAACTATTTGGATCATTTTTTTCTGGAATGGTTTTGGTATGAAAAAAAAAAATTCATTTTTTTGATACCTATAATGTGAATGGACTATATGTGTTAATGTTAAAGATTCATTATCAATCAAATTTTTTATTGAATCATGAAAATCATGATGTATACATTGTATTTGATTATATTTCATGATCTCTAATCAGATATATTTTTCATGTTTCAAAAATATATTGTGGTGTAATGTTCAAGATATTATCAAACTCAACTTTATCATTACAACATTAGAGGTTTTTTCGGACTACAATGATCAAAATGAGGCATTTTGCTACAGATTTTTCACGGTAAATTCAGATTATTCTATGTTTAAAAAATATATTGTAATCAAAGCATCCCCTTTTTAACCATATAAGTGTATATAAACATGCCTCGAATTAACTTTAATAGTGCAATAGATTGTATTTAAAGCACATCAAAATGCTAATGACTAATTTGATACTTCTCATCATGACAACCACTGCATCAATCTTAGATTTTGCAGAATCAAGAAATTTTATGTACAATATGATACATTCATAATTCATTCTCAACACTATCAATACACATATGTATTACACTTTTTGAATAAATATTTCTCAAGACAAAAAATAAATATAAATATCATTGCAATTTATTTAATATCTGAAGATTTACTATGCAATTTGTAGCCCAACAAACCCAACTTTCATATTGATGAAGCAAGATATTATTCCAAATAAGAAATTGAAAATTTTTACCAATAATTTAGTATTCTCAAATAAAAATCAAAAGATTGTTTCAAATCTGAAAAACTAATGGGTTGAAACCCTCAATTGTTATGAGGATGAACATTTTATCACAAGAAGAATTCAAGGTGAACAAACCTTTATATATCTGAAATGTGATATTAAAACTAAAGCAACCTTTTTTAAATAAATCGAACATATGTGATAGTTCTTCAAGAAATCAAATACAAATTATCAATAAAATGGACGTGAGATTATCAAGGTAGTTCATCACGTAATAAAAATATAAATTTCTTGACATCAAATTTCATTCACGTGAGTTTTTTATGGCTGAAATGATGTTCTGGAACAAGGATACACCTAAAATGCATGCAGAAGTATAGGTGGTAGAAACTTTTGTTTATCATCTTGAATCTTTGTTCATAGAAACACTGAAATTCTACTGGAAAGTTTTTACTTTGTGTCACAAAGAGCTTCTCCCAACTCTCTAAAATAGAGATAGATACACGTGGCAACTAACTAGAGTTCAAGAATACCTCAATAAACTCACAGTATGGATAGGTTCGAAATAGAACATTAATAATCTGAATCAATGAAAAAAAATTTATTCAGTTTTTTTCAAAATTGAAAGAAAATAAAAATTGTATGCAATGTACTTAGAAAGAAGTAGCAATTGTATGACTTGAACTTGTAGCAAGAACACTTCATTACCTCCTCTGAAGTAGGTTACTTTCTATCACATAAAAAGCATTTTTGTGGTGCATCATGCACACAGCAGTGGAGGCAGAAAATAAGCTGTATGATGTATATAGTGGATCTTTCGCAACTTCCAGAATGTAAGAGGTCATTCAAAACTTCCACTTTTGCTTTACATAAATTTATTTATTATAATAATTGTTTTAATTTATATAATATATTAATGACATAAGGTTGAGCACGTTCCGAAACCTGCCTTTCCAGCTGAGCTTGAAAGTCGGTAGAGCACACTGTTTCTCGGAGGATTTTCAGATGAGTCAAAAGGTTATCATTGTAGCTACGAAATGTCAGATCCTAGCTTTGAGGCGACTGCAGTTAAGATGACAAATGATGCGTTAAGAATGTCTTTATGGCGACAATTAAACACAGTGATTAACTTATGACTGTCTGTATGCATTTCATAGGGGTCGAGATTCGGACACCTCCCACAATAAAGCGTTCCTCAGAGATTTTCTCATCATTCTACTGTCATAAATCTGTTGGAAGGTCCTGCGGAATCGTCTATCATTTGTCTACTGTCAGGAAACAATCTCATCTATTGAGCATACGGAATCTCCGACGCTCAGAATTTATCACGATAAGACTAGTTGAGGAATTCGGTGACCAACCAAGTCTAAGAGGAGGAAATGTAGCTGAGACATGCGCAGACTCGAATTTTATTATGTAAGAACTCCCACGCAATCGCTTTACCTTCACCGTTGTAGATAAGATTCCTGACTCACATACTGTATTCCAGAATGTTTAAAATACTGAAATTCTGGGATTCCACAGAACCAGACAGACGTCTTCAATAGGAATAGACGCAGAGATATGGCCTATGAGATTTGGTTATTATTTTTACAAATAGATGTTGTACAGCGGAAGCCAAAGACAACAATGCGCAGCTGGTGTAGTGATATCATAGTACCCTCCCACGGTACTGACCGGGGTTCGATTCCCCGGCTGCGCAGCCCCTTTTCCTTTCGACGTCTCCAGTTCTGCTCCCTTTTCGCTGAAGAGAGATTTCGCTTCTGCGCGATCAGACTCCAGACCGAGGGCGAGAAATGCGCAGACATTTTAAGCCTATGCTAACCCCGTAAAACTCCCTCTGTGGCTGACAGATGTTGCGTGACACAGCACACTGATTTACTGTACCCGGCTCAGACCCTTTTAGAGTCTGATTTAGGAACCTGATGCTAGTTTCCTACATCGACTGGTATGATTTAAAAAATGATTTTAGTTCCACCGATACTTTCAGAATTTAGTCTAAAGTTGAATGAGTAATAAGAATGTCAGGAAAAAAATGATAACAAGCTAAAGCTGACGGAGAGAAATAGAATATCGTTTCAATGGGAAATAGATGCTAGTTTCCGGTAAGAGGATGGCTATAAAGCTTATTGTAGCTCTAGGGATCTAAAACACTAACTTTAAGTCTTGAATGATTCAATCAAATGTCAGCAAAGAGATTAAAAATTACTAAAGTTGAAATTTAACTATGAAATCTTTGAGTTTCGATGATGGTGCCCATTTCCTGCATCACCTGAGATGATTTAAACCTTGATGAACATATCTGAAGTATTCGATGATTACAACCTTGATATCAGTTCCACGAATGTAAACATTGTCTTCTAGTCTTGTATGAGTTGTGAGAAAGTCAGCTAGGAGATGATTACTACCTACGGCTGATAGATAACCAAATAACAAACTAGGATAACGCTGCTGTTATCTTGCATCTCCTGGGAGTCTGGGAGGCTTCATAATAGTTCCAGGAGTCTAAAGGTGATCTTGGAGTCTGAAGTCTTGTATAATTACTAAGTCCGGGTTCACAGATTAAACCGTATATATGACTACAGTACCTTTATCTTTTCAGCTTCACTCATGTAAAGTCAACCATACCTCAGTATACCTCCTTTCTCTAACCCTTCGCAGTGTTCAGTTAGCTGTAAACATTCAATCAAAGTAGGAGAAATACAAAAATAATGCCGAGTAAACTATTTGGCCATATTAACAAACAAAACAAAGTCTCTTCAATGACGCCAAGATCTGGGCGATGAGGTAGGAAAGCTTTTGTTTCGATTCGTGCCAAATCTGATGTTAAATCCTGCAATGAGTCAGTTCTAAGATATTATCTAAGTTACCCCATAGGAAAGAATTAAACTATCAAACAGTACTCAAAATTCAGGTGCCAAATCTTTCAGGCTTATTATCTTGTATCAATTCAACAGCAAGTAAACATTGTGAAAGAAGCCATCTATCGATCCTTTTATATTTTGATTGTATCAATTAAAAGATGTGAGCAGGAGATGTGTACATTTGAAATTTCGAAAAACATGGAATCTCTTCCCAGAAGATAGTTTATGCGTTCACAAAACCTTCCTAGATGGACATTCATTTCCATAATGTGATTTCTTATATAAAAGCATATACTTACACCAACACATTTTCCGATTGAACCCACATATAAGCCTACATAACCGCGGCTTCCCTATATATGTACATATTCATTGTAAAACCAAACGAAGAATAATTCCAATTACATCAAGTACCATGTACGGGATATTTAATGCTTAAGCAAAAGAGAAAGCATTATTCCTCTGATGAATTTGTTTTATTATGGAAGAGTAATTCTAGGAGAACTTTATGAATATCGCTCACGATTTTAGTGCTGAATTGCAAAACTCTTCCGTCATTACCAACTTAAGAACTATTTCAAATCACATCAAGAGATTTTACATGGGCAAATAACTAATCGGACCAACAGGGCACGCTGAAGTCTCTAAGACTGAAAACATACATAGACATATCACTAGATGGTGGTAACAGATTGTACTGGTATGATCTCGAAGTCCTAAGAAACATGTGTATATTTCTCACAGGTAATCGTGATACAAAGATAATAAGCTTAAAAGATGATTTTGTTTTATTATTCTCCAAGTTCATCCTTAATAATTATGGTGGGTCTATCGCAAATAGAATTTCGGACTATGGAATCAACAATTGGGGTCTTTTTCTCCGCACGACCTTATATTTGATAGACTGTTAACCCTGGATTGTCCACATAAAATCAAAACAAGCAAGTAAAACTTGTCAAGTACTTGTTGATTCTACCGCCGATGTTGAAATGCAAACTAGTACAGTCCCCAACTTTTAAGATGCATGCTTTCACCCCAACATGCAATGTTTATGCTGGTCAGCACCGTTATGAAACATGTTCACTAACTTTTGCCCCAGGTTGGAGAATGTGAGACGAGTTTTCGATGTAGGACATTAACGCCAACGTGAGTCTCGTTCGATGTCGGGTGCATATCGTGCAGTGACCCAGAATCAGATTTCCTTGATTTTTGCTGACCCCCCGGGGAGAAGGGCAGTAGAAAGGCAAGCCGGGCATCGGACAGATGTGCAGTTAACACTGGTGAAGGAGCAGTTATACCATCAAGCCATGAAGCAAAGCAGTAACTGCTATGGTCGCCCCTGTGAACGAAACTTCGAGCACAATCCGAAGGTCTCATGACATCAAGACGTGCCTCCTCACATAAATTGCAAACCTTCCCTTTTGCCTTGTACCAGCTGAGATTGACACGATTGACAGCGTCAGCTGGTTTGGTGGGCTCTGAGAAAGAGAACTGCTTCGAGATGACGTTCTCGTACGGAGATCCAGGAAATCTGCTCTTCCAACCTGTTGCAATTTACGTTGCAAGGCACCGAGTGACCGAGACTGTAGTCCCTGGGCCAATTTCCCATCATATAAAAAGTATGATGGAAGGCAAAGAAAGCAGCTGTTCGAAACAGAAAAGCAGTTTGTGAAGCTGTCATTTGCCAGCCCAGGAACCCCACAACGGAAACCGACCCCAACCTTTGCTTGGCGACGGTTAGTACGGGGAGAGGCAGGAGGCATTATGCTGAGATGGAATTGATTCGGTACGCCAACGAGGGCATGGCCGCAAAAGAGACAAGGCAAGAGGACATGGAAGTTAACTTCGCTGCAGAAGAGATCTGTAGTGACAGAACAGAATCCGAATTCTCGATGCATCAACAGTAGAGAGCGGGAAGCAAAATTTGGGGAGTGCACCGCTGGAGATGGATGGGAAGTTATCGGACCAGAATCTTCGTCGTGCTCTCTCAGATGGCGCCTTCCTTAAACTCGGCTGGTGTTCTCAGATGGTGTCTGCTGGCCACAAATTCCTGGCGCTGGAGCTGTTTTCGAATCGAGCCTGTAGTAGTCCACTTACAGCTAAGCCTAGAATCAGCGTTGGCGTAACGCAAATCTGCAGAAAGTTAGACCTGTAAGTAAGTGCTGCTTCTTGTGGAAGGATGGCAAAGGTGAGATCAGGATCATTATTCAGTCCAATCATCGATGAGGCCAAGTGACCATCATCGTCACTCCTGGTCACACCTTACGAGGAGTGTGGGAATGAAAATCGAAGGTAGATAGATGGTCACTGGTTATTCGCCAGGCGGGATCCCTTGACCTCGCGGTACAGCAATAGTGCCCCCAGACTGCGGCTTGACTGGGGCCTCTGTGACTGTACTACGTACTCTGAGCTCGGGTCAGGCCCTTGCACTGCATGTACAGATTGTGTGTGGGGGTGTGCCTTCGCGCGTGTATCTAGTTTAGATACCTCAGTGTGGGCAGGAGGAGAAGCAGTCTGTGTAAGCAGCAAGGAGAGGAGTTACGCTGGCGTTCTCCACGAGTCCACATGCACAACCCCGCAACGAAGGGAATCCCATCGGTGCAACCGTTCACACAATCATAAGGATTTCGAAGACGAACTATGCCAACTATATGCACACACGAGTGGCATCAGGTAGGTCAATGATATTGCCAGGCACCAGACGGTGCCCGCAGGGATGGATGTATATACCAATGCCCTCGGAACTCGCAGGGGAGGGGGGGCAGGAGTGAACATGTCCCAGGACTTTCCTAGGCCTTCCTTCCTTCCTTCGAGCTCCATGGCATGAGGTTGCATGAATCCCTCAGAATCTGGTCATGACGAAGAAGGTCAGACGAGCGAGGAATTTCTATCCGCGGCGACACATGTACTGCAATGCACAGGGCTGCAATGTTACGAACATCTGCCGCCACTGGCTGCGCGACTGACGACGCAGTTACGTTCAGGGCCCCCGGGGTCCAGATCTGGACTCCCCGACGTTAATTTCCTGCAGACGCGAGGTAGCAGGTACGGCCAATTATTCAATTCGGATCTGCGAGGGATCGTACGGTGCGAGGCAAGAGGACAAGTGTGCCGACATCTGCGGGCATCGCAGCTTCCATGCCGGGCGAGAGTATGGAGCGAGACAAGTTGTAGCTTCGATTGCAGACAGGCGGTCACGTCATGCCGAGTCATGCCCTCCTCGTCATTCGGCCTTCCGGTGCACTCTCGTCTAGCGTAGCTCTGAATTCTCTGATCCGCGAGTTTCTGGGAACGAAAGCGTGTGGAAAGAGTTAGCCAGCCTGGTCTACACGGCATTGAATGTCAGTTCTCCGTCGTCGTCGTCTTAGTCGTCTGTTTCGCCTTTGACAGACAAAGGTCAGTGACGCTGCCGATGCTAGGAGGAGCGCAAGCTCTCCGCGAGTGTAGCGTATGGAATGTTACAGGGAAGGGCACCAAAGCATCGCCGTGGTGACCGGACCCGTACGGTGATGTCACAGCTCCAGAGAACTGCCGAAGAGATTTTCCATTCGGGTTGGGCGCCTGAGCTATGTCTTGAGTCTCCATCCTTTCCACAGGCAACTCGGAGGACAATTCATAGCTCGCAACCTCGCAACGCTCAGAAGACGTGCAATTTCGTCTTGCCGAGTGACCTGATCATAGGTTCTTTCACTGACGCAAGATTGATTCGAATCTTTGACCTCCCAGAGTACATTATACATCTTCCAAAGCGAGGTGATTTCGACAACAGGGGGTTTTCTTAATTCAAGACTGAAGTAGCCGAAGAAAATCGTGAGCCGTCGGGAGGCAGTGAGATGGAGTTTGGATGGAGCAATCAGACCGGAGGAATGGTTTGAATATGTACATAAAATACAGAGTACAGTTTGCAGTTCACTCTAGAGCGAAAGTTGTGGATATTTTTTGGATTGAGCACTTGCTCTGCCAAGGAGCCTCTGAACCTATCGTTCTACTTTACAAGCTGTCGAATAACCTCAAAATTTTGTGTACGGATAAGCGGTTTTTGAACATTGAGAATCGATATTGTGAACTTCGCTGCAGAGTGAGTGATCAAAGCATCTCTAAGAACTCCCCTAAGTCGATTCGAGTTCCTACTCTGGAATGTTGTAACATCCAAATATTATTGCAGTCGAGTCCGTATGGCTACAGACGTGCCGTTGAAAGGCTGGAAGTCCTTGCTTCGTCGTAGTGCATGGCAACCTCGCATGTGCACCTTCAAAGAATCTGGTTTGAATGTCCTTCCACACTGCCTGATATAGACGAAATACACCAACGCAATTAAAATCACATGCTGTCATTCCAGAATCGAGCTATTCCTACCGTAGCCGTAAGAAACATGCTCGATCACTCGCTGGGGATTCAATCATCATCGGCACTCGAATGGAGGAAGCGGGCAAAGCATTTTGCAATTTGGGGGCACTCAATGCATGCCCAGAACGACTATTATTCCACGCAGGAAACATTACAATCCAGTGATCTGGGCGTGTGATCTACATCACCATACTCTCCACATACTCTCACGCGCTTTACAAACTATCAAGGGAGGTGTTCAAGCGTAATCAAGAGCTAATGATGATGCTTTCGTGGGACCTTCGGGGATCAGAGGACCGTGTCTTTCAGAAGCTCAAGTTCTTACCCGCATTCTTGCAAAATTTGCCCGAAGTCTGGAGGTGGAAGACTGAGGCTTGCTGCTTCCTGCAACGTTTTCTCCCAATCGAGATTGGTTCTTCCCGCTGTCAATGGCCTGGAAACCCAAACGACAAGAACATTATTGTTTCCTGCACAGACTCGCCGTTCTCCTCGGCACACATTTTTCCGATCTCCATCGATCGGCAAGAGGACCTACTTCCAATGACGTGAAGTCCCGCCATGTGCACTACGCGCTCAAGCTACAGAATACAGATTGAAAAACAAATGCAGCTACCAATGTCGGGACAGCGGACCTTCCAAATGATCAAAAATCCAAAACTGGCGGGAGTAAATCGCCTGTATCGTCAAGTCAAGTGCAAGAACAACAAGCGCAAATCCAAGAAAGCAACCTTCACAATGATCCAGAGCCTTGAATATACCTATCATCTCTGTTGACAAACTCCTTTTTCGTGGGCGTAAGCGGAGCATCTTCCCACATAATTGAATTGATTCGGGGAGGACTTCTGTTGAAGGTACCTGAAAGAGTTTTAGATCCAGCCCCCGTTGTACCGTTCTTGTTATTTGGTGTCCGCGTTGAGCCAGAACGCATTGAGCCCGAGGATGTCTTGACACGGTCATTCTCCTTCAGCAGGTCCTTCGAAGATCTGGACTCTCCGGACCTGATCTCTTTGCTCACCAAACTCCGAGCGCGAGCCCTCGCGTCTTCGATGCGTTTGTTGAAGCTGGGCGAACTCGACAGCTGAGTTCGAACGGGACTACTCGGAGGGTTCGGCTTCATCGGGCTCTCTGGAGAATCAGGTCTCGTGGTCTTCACGGTCTCTCTCACATCTGAAATCGCTTCACTGATGGACACCCTGCCGGCGAGCATCATAAACGCAATCAATTACACGTATCAGTTCGCATTCAATTGACCATCACGGCACAGAGCTCCGACACGAGAGCTGACAGTTTAGTTCAGAATCAATAATTATAACAGGCTTCTCGATCGCATCCCGGCACTGAATTATTACCTCGGTAAACTCGCCGTGTCGATGTTGAGGCTGGGCCTGCCCTCGGACGACGACGGACTCGGCAATTGCTGCGTGATGACCTCCTTCACGGACACATTGTTCTGCACTTCGGAGGACGAGCTGGCCGTGGACGAGGCGCCATTGCCACCGTCGGACGCATCGGAGGTGCCCGACAGCGAAATCGACGCCGGCTTCTTGCCCGAGGACACGGCGGCGCTGCTGGACTCGCTCGACGACGGAGAGTTGTTCTCGGTCTGCAGGAACGGCGTGGCCATGGCGCTGTTGACGCCGGACACGTTCATGTCGAACTCGAAGCTCTTCTTGAGCGGCGGGTCGGGCTTAGCCACGGTCACAGGCTTGGTCATGGGCCCGCGCGGGGGCGTGGGAGGCTCGGGCCCCTCCTTGCCCTCCGAGGAAGTGCGCGGCTTTCGGCCCGACCGCCACCGAGGCCAGTACGGGCCTCCCTGATGGCCTCGGGTGTTGGGCGACTGCGGCACGGCGCCGGACGCCGGCTGCGCTGCGGCCGCGAGCGGGTGCTCGGGGCTGTCGGGCCGGGAGTCCGTGGCGTGCGGATTGGCGTTGCCGCAGAGCCGGAAATTGGACAGGCATGTCGCTTGCTTCGCGAGGCGGATGTTGATGTTGGGCAGAGAATCCTCGCACTGCGTGCTGGCGGCGGACGTGCTGGGCGTGGACGATCGAGTCGACGACGAATGCACGAGCTTTCCGAATTTCTTCTCCGGGCTGGGGCTCGACAGCGCTGCCATGAGCCTGCGCGGAGAGAGCATGAAGGGCGTGCTGTCGCCGGATTCGCTGCATGTGGGGGATTTTTTGGTCTTTATCGTGGGCAGCTCTTCGGGCTTCTCCTGTCGGGTCTTGGCGGTGTCCTTCACGGCCTTGGATGAATCCCTGGAGACGTCCCTGGGCAGTTCTCTCGACACCTCTCGAACAACCTCCCGGGGCACCACCACCTCTCGCGGCTGTTCTCTGGCTACTTCTCTCGGCCCTTCTCTGGGCAATTCTCTGCTGATCTCTCTCGGGGCTTCTCTGGGCAATTCTCTCGAGGTTTCTCTCGGCACCTCTCGGGGCAATTCCCTCGGCGCTTCTCGGGGCAGTTGCAGCTCTCTCGGTGCTTCTCTGGGTAACTCTCGGGACATTTCTCTAGACTTTTCTCTGGGCGCTTCTCTGGGAACCTGCGGCGGCAGCTCTCGTGATACCTCTCTGGATCGAGGCAAATCCCTCGGAAGGGAGCGCTCTCTGCCCATGCTTTCAGTCTTCCTCGGTGGACCATAGCTGTGCTCACGATCGGTGCCGGACGATGATGCTGAAGCCGTGCTCTTACTGCGCTCTCGAATAGTCTCATTGAAGCTGAACTTCTGCACGGTCGATTCTTCCGAATGCAGCGTTTCGCTGGAGATGTCGGTGACGCTGTGGTCGAGCATACACTCCTCAGCGGCGTTAGATTTCGCCTGGGAAAGACTGTTCATTACTTGCTGGTTGAGATCCATGCTTTTGTCCTTGCTGAATCTCTTCATATGAGGGTCGCTCATCAGCTGCAGACTCAGAGACAATGCTGCAGCCAGGTCGCTCTGCTCTTGAAGTTTATCCGATTCCATATCTAAGCTTCGTTTCACAGCCTCGAAGTCGAACTTTTTGCTGGCAAGTTTTTTGATCTTGTTGGGAAGCTGTGACGCATTTTCCGGATCAAACTGCCCATCCATAAATTCAGCTTTCTCTGCGACCAACATGTCAATATTTCAGGGACATGTCTTGATGACTATGAAACGAGCAGTATCCGTTCCGCCCAGAGACGCATCGGCTCTCTACACTTGATATGAACGACGAAGCTCGGCCCACAAGCAAAAGCAACACGTCTGCACTTTCTCAAGCTGTTGCCACATCTCTGCTACGCTGGGCATTTGGGACTCTTGCAGCATCCACGATGAAAACCATTGAAGAAAGTTCAAGTCCTGTAACTGCGGAAACAAGCTCACATGCTGAGACTCTAGAGGACATGGGTCGACTTCGACTAAGCTGGTTCCACTCACAATCGCTGCAACATCATCACTTGACCGAGTCGACTGGAGCTGCCCTCAATCCATGTTTACCTTGGAAACCAGTGTACAACTCAGACCCTTTGAGGACAAGTTCACCATCGCTGAGGGGAAGAATCTTGTCGTCATCGGCTAAATCTTGCCAAATGAAGTTGTTCTTATAGTTCCTGCACACGCCATCAATGTACGTTAACATTCACGCCCGGTTCCGTCCGGATGTCTGATGCACTCAGGCTGCCGTTTCTTCTGTTGGAAGAGAGAACTCTGCAGACTACGAAATTACATTTTGGGCAATGGCACAATCCCGCTCTCGAGATAGATATCTGGAGCTCAAATTTTGCAACAACTGAAAAGTCTGCCCTTGGGTTGTCGCTGCAACGAATCCAGCTTACGCTCAACGACATCCATCAGGATAATGATTACTAATGCACTTAGGTCTGAGCTCACCTCTTACACGACCAGGAGAATGAATCTCCCATTCCCTTTCCGCGAATGGAGGTCAATCTCCTCTTCACATCTGGAAAGAGCAAACCATCGGTCAGATCACGTTACAGTACATTGTCGCCATCCAAAAATGCTCTCAGAAACCATAGCTCACTGCATTTGACACTACATGTTCACAAGCCACAGTTTTGCATATTTACACGAAGCACAGCCAATCTGGCAGCAACTTCGAGAGCTGAGCGACGATGCAAGCAGCAAAATGAAGGAACGAGAAAGATAATGGACAGACGCGTCTGCTCGGACATGATTTCCAAACCTAAGTGACAACATTCACAAGAGCTGGAGTTTTGAGTCTGACCTCTCAAATATAGCCCATTACTGTGAGTAGAGACCGGAACATCGATGAGATGAGGCTGCTGTAGCTGGCCTCCCCGGCTTAGATAGTACACAACCTGAACCTTGGTGAAAGCTTCCTCGGGTTCCATACCTTGACCTACCAGAACCATGCCACGGAAGTCCTACCTCGGTTGCATGCAGCCCAGGGCTGCAATCAAAGCGCAATGCTGCAGAAGAGAAATGGTCGAATCCAAACAAGCGCTGAGATATACGCGATCGGTAGCGGGATCCACACTGTACGTAAACATCAAGACTACGGGATTGGGCTGGGTGCTGCGCAACTCCTGGTCAAACCCGGATGCTCATCCGGGAGATGCTACATTGCACGTTCACTGCACGAACAGCCGTCTCCATGATGAAAATGGTGGTGAAGTTATGTGAAATTGGGTTACGGTCGGAGATCGCAGGGAGTCGCGCCGAAGAAACGACGCCGCGACGGGACTGTAACTCGGAAGTGAAGTACTAGTAATGACCCGAAGACTTCACCACGGTGTGCGCCTGCCGGAAGAGAATGTGCGGTGGAAGGTTTGTCTCGGACGATGGCTTCGGAGCTCGACATGTACGGAGACCGGCAGATCCAGGAGGATCGGTGTTTGAGGGGATCATTATACAACTGACACTACGGAAATTCGAAACGCTAGCTGATGAAGAAAGGAGAAGGCACGACACGCAGAGGGAGTTGGTACTAGGAACGAGATAGACGAGCGGCGAGCTGGGCTGGATTGGCACTTCAAACTCCGCCGAGCGCAGCCATCCGCAATTGTGTGAGACGAATGAACGCAGCCACTCACTCAATCACTCACGCACAGATGGGGAGCTCAGACTCCAGAGCGCAAGAGGAGCCACAGCAGAGCCGAAGCCAGCTCCCAGTTGAGACAGAAGGAGGTTATTGAAAGGACTGAGGCCCCAAACGCCCGACGCTGCGACAAAAGTCTCGCTGCTCTCCCAGCTCTCTGTAGCAGCTGGCTGCTGCGGCTCCGACCTCCTTCTCCTCCCTTCCTGCTCAGGACCAACAGGTCTTAGGCAGGCAGGCAGGCAGACGGCGAGTTGAATACACTTTATCGAATCGGCCTTCGTCCCTCCATCTCGCAACGCAACAAATGATCAAAACCACTCGCGCTCGCTTCTCAAGCCTCTGGAGGCCAGGTCCGCCCGCTCTGCGGGGCCCGGCCCCGTCTCTCGCCGCTGCTCGGCCTTGCCCGCAGGGACGGACTCCTCCTCACACGAGCCCCGCCCCCACCGTCGCCAAGCGACGACGATCTGCAAGGCCTGCGTCAGAGGGACCGCTCCGCATACGCTTCTGGCGCAGTACTGGGATTACGTCCCCCCGGACTCGCGGTCTCGCCCCTCGCTCCTCGCTCCTCGTCCGGCCGCAGCAAAAGCAGAAGCGCCTTTCTCTCCTGCCCGTCGAGGCCCGCCCTGCCCGCCTGACGGACTGACGGACTGACTGACTGACGCCAGAGCCGCGCGCGGCTGGGCCGGGGGCCGGACACGTAAGGGCGGAGCCAGTCGCGGCTCGTCTCGGCTCGTCGGGTCCTGTGACTCCGGTCTCGCCTCGGCTCGTCGCGGGCCCGCCCGCGTCGGCCACCCCTGCCCTACGGCGATCCTGTAGGGCCTAGGCGTCGTCGAGTGCCAGCGGAGTGGCGGCCTCGCCGTCGGGGGCTCAAAACTGATCCACGTGTCGAGCACAGGATCCCGTTATGTTCACAAAGGCTGCGGAACTCACTCCTACTTTCGGACAGGACTACCGCCAGATTTAGCGCCTCGCATAACCGGGCACCTCCCCGGCTGTTTTTAGAGCGCTCTGCCCCGCGCGCGCACGCTCGGACGACGTGGTCCCTCCCGTCGTACCGCAACTGCCTCTCGGAGCGGAGGGAGTCACAGGTCTCACAGGTACAGTCGAGTCGGTAGGTAGCGAACTCGCCCCGACGCTCGCCCCCGGAATCTCGACTCGTGCTGGGCTATTCATCATTCTCCTCTCCCCGGTGCAAACCCTACCGCCTAGTCCCGGTACCGCTCCGGTGCCCAGCCAAGGCCATCACACCTCTGCTCGAGCCGGCCGACCGACCGACAGACCGACCGACCGAACGACGACTCGTCACGGAATGCACCATTCTCAGCTCGACGAGCAGAAAGCGAGAAGATCGTGCGACCGGGCTCGCGAAAGCGAGAAGCCTTTCACTATTTGCTTTGATTGCATAGAGCACATCGCGATTCGACAGATCGCTCGAGGAATAGGGAGATTGTACTTAAGGGAATAAGAGATTCTCATGAGGGGCGGCTTTTGGTCTCCGTGGTTCCCTGTTCGGTACCGCGCGGTGCTCTTTCACGGCGAGTGACGGAGCCCTGGACCCGATCCTTGGGCGTGGGAAAGACACCGAGTCGGACTTCGACTTCTGCGGGTACAGTGGAGGAGAAAAGGCAACCCTGAGATCGCTTGACGTAACGTGCTAGCCCGAACGACGTCAACGGAAGATTCCCGGACTTCCAGTATGTCAACTCCGATAATACCCGAAGTGCATCATGAAGGCAACACATTCAGGCGTCAAATGTTGAGGCTCTTCGAGATATATTAACCGATGACTAAACGGCCGCGGAGCTTGGGTTGTCATCATGGAACAGTCTACCCGCAGGACTAACAGAACTGACATGTGCCACTCCGAGTGGTGAGCGAGGGACATTTTGACCACAGTGATCCGTAACGGGAGCTCATGGGACATAGCGTCTTGACTCTGAGCCTTAGGTTGCAGAAATGATAGTTTTGTTTCGAGGCCCATGTGCAGTGCTGGCTTGTTCCAACAGAAAACAACATGAGCTGCGTTATGCTGGATGAGAACATTGAGCAGCATCTTCAATTTCTTGCAGGTCAACCTGTTCGGGCCCTTGAACGTCTTCATGCAATGCCGAATCCGAGCCACCGCAGGTCGGGCAAAGCAGCACCACCTGGACGCTGATATCACGAGCGCCCAGTTTTCTTGGCGACTTTGTCTCTTGTAGCCAGCAAGGCTGGGTCCCATTCTTCTGGTTCGTGAGCCATCATGTGACCCATAGTAGCCTTGGGTTTCAGTGCTTCCCCAAGTGACGCTTCGAAGGAATCCCTTGTACCCCAATTCCTCCCCGGACTTGTGAACCAGTATTCCCCTGTTCATACAACGAGGATCTCATCGGCACGAGAGGGCGAGTCAAACCCTAGCTTTATGCATTGTTTATGATTTCCGCAAGCCTTTTGAAATGCGACGCGAACGGCGTGACCAAGAGTTTGCAGTAATCCGAGAATGGATGGATTCCAACGGTGCATGGACTTCAGCTTTAGACGCGAAGAGGCCTTGACGACTCAGATTCTCTTGAGAATGTCGGGTTCGGTCCCTCTCCCTTGAGGCTGTCGCTCGCCATTCCTGAGAACACAAGAGAGGGCAAATCTACGATGTTGTACCTGAACTCTACTGCTAAAGTGCCTCATGTCATCACGATTAGACACGGGAACCAACCGATACGATAAGGCTTTTGACTACGAAGTCAAAGATCCACGAGTTTCTGGCTTGTGTCTTTCCATTCTAAGTATGTAGCCCTCATGTAGCAGACACGTACCACTCGATGATTTTCTGAAAGCACGGGAATGACTCCGAAAAGAGAAGCAAGTCTCTGAGCCTGAGGTCGCTACTTTGTCGCAGCTGCCTTGTCCTTTGTCCTTCTAAGTGCCATGCTCTGTTGTCCCCCCAACGCAACAAGTACACACACATACGTTGCATGCAGGTTCAGTTTCATGCTCATGGCTCTTGCCACTTCATTCTCGAATACGGCAGATTCCTTGAGGGAGTGACTTCTCCTGGACTGCTCATTTGTTATTAGGTGTGTGTCGATTGCAGCTAATCCGATTTAAGAATCAATGAGCTTGACGTCCACTGCCGTTCCACTATTCCGCGAGGACGCTCGCAGGCTGCTGGCATCTTCATACCACGAGATGTGAAATTTCGGTCTTCAGAAATCTGAACTACATTCAACAGACAGATTCTTTCGAAGAATCTTATGGGAATTGTTTTTACCCGTACAATGATTGCGTTTTGGTCTTTCAGCTTTCGACTCCTCTATTATGAAGCACATCATCTAAGAACTGAAAACCTCATCAGATTATCATAAAGCTTCGGAATACACATACTTGAGCAAGTACTTCAGTGTGGTTTTCTCGTGAGTGTCGATATCCTAATACCCCAGTACCCCAAATGGATTGTGTTTGGGAATCCTTGTAGAAAAGAGATAATATGTGAGAATAATAGTTATTGACGTTTGTCCACAGATATTTCAGCAGCAACGCGCTCCGCTTGTGCAGACTCGAAATATATACCATAGAGATTGCTTCTCATATCGATTTGACACTTGATAATTGCAATATGAAAGTTCACGTTTTAACTTAAATATTCTAAATCTTACCACCTACACTACTGAGAAACATAATGTGCTAGAAATTCTTCGGGCTTATTACCTTGAACCTTACCTTGCCGCTGCACTATGTCATGAACGATATTCGAGTGTCCTTTGTCGAAGATTCCAAGTTTTTAAGAACTGCAAAGGTCAAAGCAGGCTCAGGGTTTACAATTTACATTTCACAACATGTGACCTTTATATCTAGAAGCATCTCTAAACCGCCCAAAAAGGTCTAGAATAAGAGACGTGGCCGACATTACGAACCCCATCCTAGTAATAATTGCAGTCATTGTGTTCGACAATTACGCCAAACCCTCTTCGTCAATGAGACTTCAGAATTCGTATGAGATTTTCCAGATTTCTTTACTATCAAAACTGATAGTTTTCCATCCGTTAGTGATTATCTGCATCCGATAAAGCAACAAGATTTCGGTAAGCGATTTCCCCTACATACATTTTAGAATATTCCACCTAAGACATAGCTCAACTACATACCACGATAGTCAAATTTTTGTTTCTTTCACTTTTGGACCTGGTGGTCATCGACTCTGGTTTGTCCTTTATGTGATGGAGTTTGCCATGGTTTGGTTTACTCCATGCCGTTTGTTCCGTTATTTGTTTTAACTGAGCTCGTAGGAAAGACCGGACAGCAGAAAGCCTCGTGAGCAAGACATGGACACGATAGAGTCAATTTTCTTGTCTTCGGCCCTTACTCCACCTAAAGGCTCAGTTGAAGCCAGAGTCTGCCCCAATCCCCTTGCACTGGCTGGTCGCCGGCCAGTGCTGCCTCGTCTTGCAATGACTTGCATGTGATCTCGCATTCGTCGGCCTTTCGTCGCCGCGGCCTTTTACCTCGCTCCTTGAATCAGATCTATGCCCATGATCTCCAAGCTTGCATCCGGCTCTCTCTACGCCTGGACCCTCCCTTCTCCCAGCTTTCTGGATCATGAGCATGCCGTTCACCTCGTACTCGTAATCCGACCCATATCTTCTGTCGGAGACTGAAGGAGGTTCCCTGTCTATTGTGAAGGACGGTAGAAAATTTTACTCCCCAGTCTCAACATCACTTTCCGTTCGATAAGATAACAGGAGCAGGCGGAGGTAAGCTCGAGAGGCCTATCAACGCTCGAGTTTACTTGCGGTACCAAAATATACACAAAATGTTGGTTTCAACGACTTGATTGGTCTTCAATTTTCTTTTTGCTTATATATCACTCGCTCCTCCCATTAACAAGAACCAATGTGAAACTATGGAACGCGAATCCCCAAAACCTCGTCCCCGAGGTCACAAAAGTCACTTGTGACTTGTGCCGCATTTTCGCCTATGGACGAGCACTGGTGTGGAAAATGTAAGCCTCGAAGGGAGTCACACAGGGTCCAAAACCATAACTATCCTTCGGATTTTTTCGTGCCTTGTGAGTTGTGGAAGCATTTCAGTTCCAGGGAAATAATTATTTAAAGTGCGGAGCCAGTACCGCAGGGGTACGTGCTCATCGTAGTGGCATCACTCATCGTCGGGCTCTCACATGAACCGTTATGAACCGTTACCTTTCACGTCGATTATAATGCAGCTCTTAATTGGATTTGTCGTCTGCTGAGCATGATCAAAGTGTAGGGCCTAGGAGTAACCTTTTCTCGCGTCCATGGCTCTGGATTTTTCTGTGCATGCACTCCACATACTTTAAAGCCTAATAATTAATCTCGATTTAATCGAAGATTTATTGCGAGAGCTTTAGGCCTGACACTCCTCTCAGACAGCACAGCATTGTCCCAGAGCTCAAATCTACCGTATCTGGTCATTTCTTACACTCTGACTGTGGACGGTACGACCTCTACTGCATCCTTTTCACAGGCGTACATTGTCGGTCGAAAATTTCTACGAGA